ACAAGCAGATCACATGGCGAGAGGAAGCAAGAGAGAGAAGGTGCCAGGGTCTTTTTAAGCAGTGAGGTCTCGCAGGAACTAATCAAGCAAGAACTCACTCAATCCCCCTTTCCCCAGGGAGAGCATTAATCCATTCCTGAGGGATCCGCCCCCATGACTCAGTTTCCAACACTGCCACATTGGGGATCAAATTTCCACGTGAGCTTTGGACGGGACGACACATCCAAACTCCATCAGATATTAACTGGCAGGGAACATCTGGCTATGTCTGAAGACATTTTTGCTTTCATAACTGGAAGTTAAAAGGTCTAGTGGAAGGAAGCCAGAGATGCTGCTACACAGCCTACAATGCAAAAAAACAGCCCCAAGTATGCTGCATTTATGCATATAAGTATTTCTTAAAATTTTATCTTGACAGAAGCCAGCACAATATGGATAGGAAATATTTACACATAATAATAATAAATAGTGACTTACATCAGAATTTTGTTTATAAACCTATTCAGTGTTATAAGTCACTTATTCTTTATACTTCCTGGTCTTGTGAGGTCTGGTACACCTGCATTGTGTGGAAACTATGGTTTGGGTCAGATTCTATCCAGTAAACTGCAACCCCAGCAATTCCATATTCCTGACCAGTCTACACTGGGTGATCCTGTGCTGATTGGAGGGCAGATCAGCTGTCTATTCTTTGCACCAGTGTTCCCCTGGTGAGCCCATCTGCCCAACCACCCACACTCCAAACACTTCTCATAGGACAGGACATGCACTGGTCCCTTGTCATGACTCACCAGCCTCTCACTGATTATTTTTTGTTACCTGTGGCTCCTCCTATATGGGACCACAGAAACCCTATTAGTGATCTCACTGGCCTGGGGGCCACTAAGACCCTCTTCTCTGCCACTTTCAAGCAACTTCATACAAAGGGCACAGCTGTGGCTTTTGACATCTTGCTCCATGTGTTCACCAGCTCCAGCCTTCAAATGGCTGGGACACAAAATGGGAGCAATCCTTTCTCATTGTAACTTCTGCCTTCATGAACTCCATAGGTCTCCTCTTCCACTGAGCTCTAGCAGACCCAGCTTGGCTGTCATTTTTTATTGGTAGTAAATTGGTTGATTTGTCAGAGTGACAGTGGGGACCATCTATTCTGCCATCTTGACTGGAGGACTTACCTCAGAATTTTGAACATTAAGTGTCACTTCTTTATATTTTGTTAAATTTATTTTCTAAAGTACTGTGCTGCTTACTTTATTCCTAATCTCTTATTGGAGGTAAATTCGTATGGCCATTATTACAAAACTTTCTCCTAAGTAAATGTAATTGTTTCTAAAGTTTGAAGCTAATATGGAGCCAGTCAGGGGTTGAATATAAATACGTCCACAAGAACACACAGATCAGGCAGATAACTGTTAAGAGATTAAATCTGCAATCATTTAAACTGCTATAAACAGTAGTATTTATCGTATTCTATTTAGTGAGACATATTGTCTGGAAGGAAGATGTATCCTTTATTCCTATTCCTCTTATTTTTAAATGGTACCACATAATAGATATGATTGTGCATCACATGTGCTCTGTACTTCAGGAATATCATCTGTTTATATGTGCAGTGATGGAGAGCTACGTTTATATCTTGCCACTAAGAGGGGTAACAGAGTAAATCCCAGTTCCACTTGTGTATTGCATTGTGCGGGGTTCTACTTGCACATAAGTCTGCAGACCTAGCAGTGGCCCAGAGACTGTTTTCACTGAAGGGAATGCCTGGAGTCTGCAGTGGCCCCTTCTCTGTCTGCAGAGCCCTACTGCGAGGAGGGAACACAGACCCCAAGGAGGGTTAGGGTTAGGGTTAGGGTTAGGGTTAGGGTTAGGGTTAGGGTTAGGGTTAGGGT